ATTGCTAAAAAGAAGTAATCAGTAGAAAACTGAACAAATTCCTTATTTCTGAGCTTAAATCTTTGCCCGCGTTTTGTCATGTTGGTTGAAAGTTTCATTATCTGACGTTTATATGACAAATCATTTCAAAATGTCATTTACAACAATAAAGACATTCTGATTATTTCTGGTGGAATTCATGAAGCACTCAGTGAGGAACAAACTCACAGTTGTTTATTGAATTCTTATGCTATATAAGTGGATAAGAACATGTGCCAGGTAAAATGATATCATAGAAAACTTCACTATCCCGATTTTCCCTCTCTCTCTCTCTCTCTCTCTCTCTCTCGCACACACATACACCCACATATTCTTTTTACTCTTTCTTTCTTTCTTTTTTTTATTCTTCATTTCAGGAACCCTGTAATTCTTAAAGAAGATTATTCTTCATCAGATCTTATAGACAGACACTGTGGAATCACAAACAAAGAACATTGTCAAATAACATAAACCACATGACTTGAAGACTTCCAACAGCAGCAACAACCCAAATGAATAGCACATGGATCTTGAAGAGAAAATAATAGCATAATCAAGAATTTCAATATTTCACACTACTTCAAAATGGTTAGGAAGGAAGACCCCCCACCCCCATCAATACTGGCAAGAATGATAAGAGTGGGCTTAAAAATCTTATTTACCTGAAAAATTGTTTTAAGCGGAAGATTTTATAAAATTCAACTGAAAGTAACGTTAATTGTTCAGTCAATCAATGTTGAATGTTTCCTATATGGAAACAGTTAATCTCACCATATTTTTTGTTGTTGAATTTCCTCACCAATATAAATTATATAATCCATATTATTTTTAAGTCCAAAATGAAATACAAGTTTTGAATTTCCTGAGTAAATCTATTTGTATACATGCAAATGTTATTACTTTGTAATAGGATAACCACATATCCATACATATGCAAATCAAGTCAGAAAATTACATAAAAGATCCTTATCATTATTGGCATGATCCTTTTTATCAGCATTCACTTTATATTTACAACATACAGACATTAGGCTATTAAATATTTGACATATTATTTAGAAATATTATGTATAAGGGAGAGAGAAAAAGACCATGTGAAACAAAAGACAAGAAAAAGAGAAAGAGAGAGAGAGGAGGAAAGAAACAGAGTAAGTGAAAGAGAGAGAGCAAGAGAGAGAGAGAGAGAAAGGGCATGTGAAACAGGAGACAAGAAAAAGAGAAAGAGAGAGAGAGGAGTAGGAAAGAAACAGTGTAAGTGAAAGAGAGAGAGCAAGAGAGAGAGATAGAGAGATGCATGTTGTATTTATTCCAATGCAATTGGTTGTTAAAGTTTCTATTTCTAAATAATTTGAGGATTGAAAATGGTAGATGCTCATCAAGTGAAATCTTTCAATACACATCTTCAGTACAACGAAAGGAAATGTAAAGCAGTTACAAAAATAAAATAAACATGTTTGTCTATTGATACGTACAAATTAATTAGAAAAAAAATCTTAAATTAAAATTGAACAACCAAAATATTATAACTTTACATACACAAACATACATACAGATGCGCACACACACACACAAGCACAAACACACACACACACATACACATATATATTAATAAATATACTTATCCCTCACTGATAGCATGAGTCAGAGTTTCATGCACAATGCATATGTATATATATATATATATATATATATATTTATGCATTTTTTTATGTATATATATATATATATATATATATATGTATATATATATACATTCACTGTGGGGGAAATAAATATTCGTACACCTTGAAATTTTTTAATTAACGTACTTATAACTTATGAAAAACTTAAAATCCATACAATATTTCTACACCATTGCATAATGCTGCAATATGCAAAAAACAATTAGAAATTTTGTTATAAATGAAATTATGTGTTCTTTATAAAATTTTGAGTCAAAAAAAGGATTCATGTAAAATATGTCTTTAACATTAAAGGCTTAAATTACCTTTATTTACATAATTCTTTATAAGATTTTGCTAGATTCTTGAAATTTTCTTAATAGCAGAACAATCTAGAAAATTCCACAATTCATTTCTTATATAAGGTTAACTCTGCGCACAAATAATGCACAATAATTATCCTCATGGAGAAAGGCAAGTAATTATCAAATTCACAAGAAGAATTGATCGCCAAATATTTGAAGGAAGGCAAAAGCTATAGTAAAATAGAAGATCTTCTGAATATACCATTTACTACTATTTGTTTCGTTAATGCTAAATATAAAAAGATGAAAATTGTTGAAAACAAATCAAGATCTGATGCACCATGCAATATTTCTCCCAGATTAATGAGAAGAATTAGCACAAAATTCAAGGAAATTCAATGATTACTTGGAGAGAAATACAGGAAGAATTAAAAGCATCAGATATTATTGTTTTGAAGTGAACAATAAGCAATGAGCTTCATAGAAGTCAACTAAGATCACATTCTCCAAGAAGAATTCCATTACTATTGAAGAAACATAGGGATGCCCAGTTAAAATTTGTTTGTGAACATAAAAATAAACTTGAATCATTTTGGTGAACAGAAGCAAAAATTGAACTATTCAGGTGTAATTCAAGGACTCATGTTTGGAGAAAAGACAGCACAGCCTTTGCACCGAAGAACACAATTTGGTGGTGGCAAAATCATGGTTTGGCGATGTTTTCCTGCTAATTGTACGGGTAATTTAGAGATAACAGATGGTAGAATAAATTCAGAAATATATCGAGATGTTTTAGAATCTAATTTGTTTGGACTCCCACATGAATGGGTTTTGCAACAAGATAATGACCCTAAACATATGGCTAAATCTATGAAAAAATGGCTTATTGAAAACAATGTCAGTACACTCAAATGGCCATCACAGTCTCCAGACTTGAGTCTAAAAGAAAATTTGTGACCTTTATTAAAAATTCAAGTTAATAAAAAAGTTCTGATAAACATCCTTGACCTAAAGAGAATATGCAAAGAAGAAGGTGTAAAATACCAATGGAAATTTGTAAATCATTGATTAAAAGCTACAGAAAGTGAGTGATCGCTGTTGAATTGAGTAAGGGATATACTACAAAGTATTAAATAGGTATTATAATGTTGTACAAATGCTTTTTTGCCTCCAAATTAATTTCATTAATATAATCATTAATATAACAAATTTTTATGAATTCTTTTGCATATTGCAGCATTATGCTATGATATACAAATATTGTATGGATTATAACATTTTTTTATAAAATATAACAATGTTAAATAAAAAGAAAATTCATGGTGTATGAATATTTCTTTCCCCTGATTATATATAAAAGAGTGTATCAATAAAGGAGAAGAATAATGAAAAGATATGAATATATTACTAAAATATATATACATATACAAAGATATCTCTCTCTCTCTCTCTCTCTCTCTCTCATATATATATATATATATATATATATATATATATACAAAACACATTTGCTTAAATTATATGACTTTTTTAGTTTTTTCTGTATGTATGTATGCATATATATATATATATATATATATATATATATATATATATATATATATTCAGTTGTATGGATATTAGTTTAGAACAAACTAATATCCATACAACTGAATATGTTAGCTCTATCACTGATATTGAGCACTTTCCACTAAGTACTACTTGCATATAAATATGTATATAAATGTGTGTGTGTGTGTGTGTGTGTGTGTGTGTGTGTGTGTGTGTGTGTGTGTGTGTGTGTGTGTGTGTGTGTGTGTGTGTGTGTGTAAATTTATCTTTTATATTCAAAGTAAAAATTATATTTGAATGCAGGGTTTTTATATAAAAATATCAGTAACAAATATATTCAATTCTTCTTCATAAAAGGTAATGACAGTGTATGTGTATATGTGCGTGTCTGTGTGTGTGTATTTGTGTGTCTGTGTGTGTATTTGTGTGTGTATGAAATTATTCTACTACACACTTACATAGAGATATTTATATATTCACCTAAAATGACATAAAAATTATATGTGTGTGTGTGGTGGGGGATCTGTGTGTGTGTGTGTGTGTGTGTGTGTGTGTGTGTGTGTGTGTGTGTGTGTGTGTGTGTGTACATATGTATTTACTTCTCAAATTATCACATGAATTATCCAATGCACAGAAGTGAAGCAGTTTTATTTTCAAGCCACTGATAAGATCCATTATGAAAGATTCACATCTTTTACTTCAAATATCTCCAACCCCACCCCTATAAAAGCCCCCCACACACACACACACACTTTTCTCCCCGACCCCAACTTATTTTAATACAACCCTACATTTTTTCTTTTTCTTTCTTAAACGGCACTGAAGACTTTACATTTTTAATTGACACAAAACAGAACAGTAAAAGTAATTTTTTTTTCTTTTTTGTTTGACGTTTTTACCAACTTAAGCTGCAAATTGAACATTTTTCAAAAATCCAAATTTGTGTCTTGGCTGCCTGTGTAAACTGATATCTAAGAAAGTTTATGTTTTATCA